ATGGGCCAAGTCTGCTACTGTACTCAACCGGTAAGTTCTGCTCTTTCTTGGTGCTGCATTTGTTACGAAAATAAGAAACCTTTATGCGGCATCGCTGTGTTGATAGTAGAGAATGCATTAGCTTCTTGTTTGTTAAACATCTACTGGTACTGTATTGTAAGTTGCTGCTTCACATTGAAAGATTATTTTTGGAGGATAAAAGCTTGAGAATATTGGTACTGTGCTGTGAGAAATTGGGAGAGATCCCAGTAGTGTTTTGTATTTAATCTTATAAGTATACTACCGATGATCTCGTTTCAGACCTCTACCTCCAGTTCCAAATATGGAAATCCCTGAGGAGTTTGCAATGAAGGTTGCTGATGATCTGCGGGTTTGGATCAACCAAGTACTGTCAATTGCAAGTGATATTACCATAGCTAGAAATCCGATTCGTCTTCTTCAGGTTATAATCTAATCTTTTTGTTCTTCCCTTTTGAATATGGATGTTATTCCCTGTTATCTATTACACAATTCACATCTCGTTGGTTTTTGTTATGAAGCAGGTCTCGTTTGTCTTGTGGGCTATATCCTTTGTCGGGACTTTAATCAACTCCCTCACTCTTGTCTACATTGGTGAGCACCTAACCTTTTCTTGTGGGCTGTATCCTATAATATCGGTCGGTTTATATTAGTAATTTGTCTTCAATCACGTGTCTCTGTTTTATCTTGCAGTGATTCTTCTCAGTCTTTCTGTCCCTGTTGTGTACGAGAAGTACCAAGAACACATTGACGATAAACTGGACTCGACTGCTAAAGTCATTCGAAGTATCTCAAGGAAAATTCCGATGCCCGTAAACAAAGAGAAGAAATATCAGTAGGTAGGGTAAGTAAGCCTTTCGTCTGCTAAAGTCATGACTTGTCCAAGATTTTACAGGTTTGAGTTTTCAACTGCGGTTTACTGAACCGCTGCATATTTTTCAGTAGCTGCAGGTGAAAAAAAACTGCCTATTTGTTCACCAGACTAATTACAGCAGCTTTTAACACACAAGAACAAGCCATAACTGGATGGCTTGCTACAAGAGGATGGTCAAGCAGCGGAAAAAAGTGAATCACAGTACAGATTTTTGTTTCATTTCTTTCTGTTTTGCCGATTAGGTTTTTATCGAGTTCTTGTTCTGGTTTTTGTGTATCTTGCCGAAAACATTAGGCTTTTTTATTAGCTTCATCTCTGCTTTGTGGCATTCTTCTTGTTAGCACAACTGAGAAAAGATGAAAGCATATACGATTTGGTTTTGATAGGATTTTGAGATTTATAAAATGTTTCTATTGATTACTACTTGCTTTTTAGTTTTTAAAGACCATCTATGATTTTATAAAAATTATCACAAAAGTTAGCTGAATACCAACATAAGATTTACTTCGTTTTGTTTTTTCCATCTAAACTTGTTGGATTAAATAAATAAATTTGAGAATCATACAAACTACAATGTTTCATGTATTTTTAATCCCATGAA